ACACTTGCTTTAACTCTTAAGAAATTTTTAACAAACAGAACACTTCCCCATACGAGAGAATTTAACCATGGGCCAGCAGGTGCCAGGCCAGAGCATTAACAACTAATGCTCTGGCTAATATATATAAGGTATTTGCGAAGAAAGGAAAATATCCTTAAGAAAATTAACAATAGTCGCAATGCTGTTGTGTTTAATATCATGTATATTAGACAAAACCTGCTCCCAAAACTAACTAATACGTGAGTAACTAGGTTCATACCACTACCATCCAATACTATTACTGTTGAATGTACCAAACTTACTTTTTTAGCCGTATTAAATTATATTTATGAACTGTACCAAAATGAACATTTTACGTATGCTCCAAACATTACAAAAGATTTTCGTTAGAAAAATTATGAAATATGAAAATGAATACAACATTCTTAGTACACTGACTCAAGATCGCGAATGATGTGCCTAATTTGGTTTTGTTTCACCGCGTTGTGGTGGGCAGCGATGACCGCGTCAACTGTGGGGGGTTCCGGAAGCAGTGGAAGGAGAACCAGGGTCAGTGTGGTGTGTGTGGAGACCCTTGGGACCTGCCTCGCCCACGCCCCCACGAGACCCGCGGCAGGTACGCCAGGGGCACCATCGTCAGGAGCTACACGCAAGGACAGGTACGTCAGGGGCACCATCGTCAGGAGCTACACGCAAGGACAGGTACGTCAGGGGCACCATCGTCAGGAGCTACACGCAAGGACAGGTACGTCAGGGGCACCATCGTCAGGAGCTACACGCAAGGACAGGTACGCCAGGGGCACCATCGTCAGGAGCTACACGCAAGGACAGGTACGTCAGGGGCACCATCGTCAGGAGCTACACGCAAGGACAGGTACGTCAGGGGCACCATCGTCAGGAGCTACACGCAAGGACAGGTACGTCAGGGGCACCATCGTCAGGAGCTACACGCAAGGACAGGTACGCCAGGGGCACCATCGTCAGGAGCTACACGCAAGGACAGGTACGTCAGGGGCACCATCGTCAGGAGCTACACGCAAGGACAGGTACGCCAGGGGCACCATCGTCAGGAGCTACACGCAAGGACAGGTACGCCAGGGGCACCATCGTCAGGAGCTACACGCAAGGACAGGTACGCCAGGGGCACCATCGTCAGGAGCTACACGCAAGGACAGGTACGCCAGGGGCACCATCGTCAGGAGCTACACGCAAGGACAGGTACGCCAGGGGCACCATCGTCAGGAGCTACACGCAAGGACAGGTACGTCAGGGGCACCATCGTCAGGAGCTACACGCAAGGACAGGTACGCCAGGGGCACCATCGTCAGGAGCTACACGCAAGGACAGGTACGCCAGGGGCACCATCGTCAGGAGCTACACGCAAGGACAGGTACGTCAGGGGCACCATCGTCAGGAGCTACACGCAAGGACAGGTACGCCAGGGGCACCATCGTCAGGAGCTACACGCAAGGACAGGTACGCCAGGGGCACCATCGTCAGGAGCTACACGCAAGGACAGGTACGTCAGGGGCACCATCGTCAGGAGCTACACGCAAGGACAGGTACGCCAGGGGCACCATCGTCAGGAGCTACACGCAAGGACAGGTACGCCAGGGGCACCATCGTCAGGAGCTACACGCAAGGACAGGTACGCCAGGGGCACCATCGTCAGGAGCTACACGCAAGGACAGGTACGCCAGGGGCACCATCGTCAGGAGCTACACGCAAGGACAGGTACGCCAGGGGCACCATCGTCAGGAGCTACACGCAAGGACAGGTACGTCAGGGGCACCATCGTCAGGAGCTACACGCAAAGACAGGTACGTCAGGGGGCACCATCGTCAGGAGCTACACGCAAGGACAGGTACGTCAGGGGCACCATCGTCAGGAGCTACACGCAAGGACAGGTACGCCAGGGGCACCATCGTCAGGAGCTACACGCAAGGACAGGTACGTCAGGGGCACCATCGTCAGGAGCTACACGCAAAGACAGGTACGTCAGGGGCACCATCGTCAGGAGCTACACGCAAGGACAGGTACGTCAGGGGCACCATCGTCAGGAGCTACACGCAAGGACAGGTACGCCAGGGGCACCATCGTCAGGAGCTACACGCAAGGACAGGTACGCCAGGGGCACCATCGTCAGGAGCTACACGCAAGGACAGGTACGCTAGGGGCACCATCGTCAGGAGCTACACGCAAGGACAGGTACGCCAGGGGCACCATCGTCAGGAGCTACACGCAAGGACAGGTACGTCAGGGGCACCATCGTCAGGAGCTACACGCAAGGACAGGTACGCCAGGGGCACCATCGTCAGGAGCTACACGCAAGGACAGGTACGCCAGGGGCACCATCGTCAGGAGCTACACGCAAAGACAGGTACGCCAGGGGCACCATCGTCAGGAGCTACACGCAAGGACAGGTACGCCAGGGGCACCATCGTCAGGAGCTACACGCAAGGACAGGTACGTCAGGGGCACCATCGTCAGGAGCTACACGCAAGGACAGGTACGCCAGGGGCACCATCGTCAGGAGCTACACGCAAGGACAGGTACGCCAGGGGCACCATCGTCAGGAGCTACACGCAAGGACAGGTACGCCAGGGGCACCATCGTCAGGAGCTACACGCAAGGACAGGTACGCCAGGGGCACCATCGTCAGGAGCTACACGCAAGGACAGGTACGTCAGGGGCACCATCGTCAGGAGCTACACGCAAGGACAGGTACGCCAGGGGCACCATCGTCAGGAGCTACACGCAAGGACAGGTACGCCAGGGGCACCATCGTCAGGAGCTACACGCAAGGACAGGTACGTCAGGGGCACCATCGTCAGGAGCTACACGCAAAGACAGGTACGCCAGGGGCACCATCGTCAGGAGCTACACGCAAGGACAGGTACGCCAGGGGCACCATCGTCAGGAGCTACACGCAAGGACAGGTACGCCAGGGGCACCATCGTCAGGAGCTACACGCAAGGACAGGTACGCCAGGGGCACCATCGTCAGGAGCTACACGCAAGGACAGGTACGCCAGGGGCACCATCGTCAGGAGCTACACGCAAGGACAGGTACGTCAGGGGCACCATCGTCAGGAGCTACACGCAAGGACAGGTACGCCAGGGGCACCATCGTCAGGAGCTACACGCAAGGACAGGTACGTCAGGGGCACCATCGTCAGGAGCTACACGCAAAGACAGGTACGTCAGGGGCACCATCGTCAGGAGCTACACGCAAGGACAGGTACGTCAGGGGCACCATCGTCAGGAGCTACACGCAAGGACAGGTACGCCAGGGGCACCATCGTCAGGAGCTACACGCAAGGACAGGTACGCCAGGGGCACCATCGTCAGGAGCTACACGCAAGGACAGGTACGCCAGGGGCACCATCGTCAGGAGCTACACGCAAGGACAGGTACGCCAGGGGCACCATCGTCAGGAGCTACACGCAAGGACAGGTACGCCAGGGGCACCATCGTCAGGAGCTACACGCAAGGACAGGTACGCCAGCCACACCTTCACCACCTCTCATTAGTCTCGTCTATTTTGGACCTCTATAATTCATAGACTCTTGAACATATTACAGCGTTAGTATCCATGTGGGAAAATTTAAACCAAAACGTTCGGAATTTTCGTTTATTTTCTTCCTACATGGACACTTACGCATAACCTAGTCACGTGTTTTATGTGTTTATTCTTGTATTATAAAATCATCTAGGTAATAATTTGCTCTATCTCCCATTCCCCTTGTTTCTATGTCTCTATATATACCATTATAAATACAGACAAAGACAAAAGATTAAATATCTAAATATCAAAATGTTTCCTTCAATGACAATTAAGGAATTACACGTGTAACTTACTATAAATTACCAAATTAAAATTGAATGCCACACAAACAAACCCGCCGGAGTAACTTTAAAAGTTGCTCATATATGGTTTGGAAATTACGAAAAAATAAACATACCAGATGGGGTAACCGGCGATGGCCGGGTCTCTCCCCCCCCCCCCCTTTCTAGAGGATCTCCTCCCCGAGGACAGGTTGTTATAAACACCTCCAGAGGATAAAATCAACTAGGCTGTGACTCTGAGCTTTACGAGGAGCTGCATTAAATAGCCTGGTTGACCAGACCATTGTTACGGGAGAGGGGGGTGGGGAGGAAGTCTTCCGCACACTCCACTCCGTAAGCCTGTGCTCAAGCACAAACTCCTGCCCCTTATGGGAGTCAGCACTTTACTCCTACGTGTACCAGAAACACGGGGACCTTAGCAGCAGCAGCAGCTCCTCCGAGCACCGCCAGACCCCCCCCCCCCCCACCCGCCAGACCCCCCCCACACTGCCAGACCCCCCACACACTGCCAGACCCCCCACACACTGCCAGACCCCCCACACACTGCCAGACCCCCCACACACTGCCAGACCCCCCACACACTGCCAGACCCCCCACACACTGCCAGACCCCCCCCACACTGCCAGACCCCCCCCCACACTGCCAGACCCCCCCCCACACTGCCAGACCCCCCCACACTGCCAGACCCCCCCCACACTGCCAGACCCCCCCACCACACTGCCAGGCCCCCCCACCACACTGCCAGGCCCCCCCACCACACTGCCAGGCCCCCCCAACACACTGCCAGGCCCCCCCAACACACTGCCAGGCCCCCCCAACACACTGCCAGACCCCCCCCCCCACACTGCCAGACCCCCCCCCCCCCCCCCCTCACACTGCCAGACCCCCTCCCCTCACACTGCCAGACCCCCCCTCACACTGCCAGACCCCCCCCCACACCGCCAGACCCCCCCACACCACCAGACCCCCCACACCGCCAGGCCCCCCCCCACACCGCCAGGCCCCCCCCCCCACACCGCCAGGCCCCCCCCACACCGCCAGGCCCCCCCCCACACCGCCAGGCCCCACACCGCCAGGCCCCCCCCCCACACCGCCAGGCCCCACACCGCCAGGCCCCCCCCCCCGCCAGGCCAGCCCCCCCCCCACACGCCAGCCCCCCCCCCACACCGCCAGGCCCCCCCCCCCACACCGCCAGGCCCCCCCCCCCCCACACCGCCAGGCCCCCCCCCCCCCACACCGCCGGCCCCCCCCCCCCCCCAACACCGCCAGTCCCCCCACACCGCCATCGAAGGGGTGGCAAGGTAGAGGGAGAGGTGTAGAGATGTGTACCCGTGTTCGTCACTCACTGATCCACACCGTCGTTCCTTCGTTATCTGGGTGTGCACCTCTTTACTCAGTGCTAAAGAAACTTACTCCTGAGAGCAACAACTACAACAATGGTAGCTCTCGAGCAATTTGTTAGACTAGGATACCCCGATGATGCAAGTCCGATTCTGGCCTAGGCTTTCCGTGGCGACGTTGGTAAGACCTCAGGTGACACCTAGTAAGACTGGTCCCGCACCTAAGATTCAATACGGCCAGGTGTGCATGGGTTACCTTCACGACCTCCTTCGTTGGCTTACTGCTCAACTTCACCTTCCACAGCGAAATTTGCTAATTACTATGCAGAACAGGCTTTATTCAGTGATAGTTTAAAATTGCTAAAACTTTCGTGTAGATCAAAGTTCAGTTAAAATTAAGGGGCATGGAAACTGTTTAAAACTAATAACATTACTAAAAGTTGCTATACAAACTCAAAACAGTAATTTGCAAGCACAAGCCTCATTCCACATTTAAACTTAACGGCCACTCTCGGCTCTGGTCAAATTAACGTTACTCTACCGAGACCATTCTGGTAGCTGTAACATTACATTTTCACATTAATTTACTTTAAAGAAATCAGGAGGCTTCAAAATAAAACCTAACTTTAAATTCTACCATAATTTCTACTTTAAATCATTGACGAAAATCTCTTGGGCATTAGGCTATCATACTTTCTACAAGTTTAGACCTTATGTCACTAATTATTCCACCACAGTATAAAATATATACATATATTACCTGTACCCAAAATGTCACCGAGAACTGTCGGGAATAGGGTTAAGTATAAGACAACTTCCAATTCTGTTTGATTTGCAGATTGATCCAGTGTCAATGAGAACTGAGACAAATGCCAACAATGTATACTATAGTCTCTGGGTTGTTTGGAAGATCATTCCATTCTGTGACTGATTGTACTCTATAAGTGTAGTCACATTCATTGTCATCTGAGATTGGTTGTAATGACATGATGTCTTGTACATCATCATTATTCCGGATACGAGGCACAATATTGTGTTTGCCACCTCGACCCCGATGACCTGACCCTCGTACAGTTAAGACTCTTGTCCACCGACTGTTGTTTCTTCAGTGTGGAACGGCACACGGCACCAAAGTGACCCTAGTTTTCCGCACCCATTGCACTTCTTACCTAGAGCGGGGCCTGCATCACCTTGGTGTGGGTAGTCTCCTCCACAACTGTGACATTTTTTGTTGACACACACTGTGGGTCGTTGTGATTGCTTGGGTCGTGTTCCTTGACTCCAGTCGTGGTGTGGTGCTCGGCTCAAATTGGTGTTGGGTTTGCCATGATACCTCCTATGATCACGGTGTCCTCCCTGAACCGTACATACCTAGTCACTGTTGATAACACTGTTAGCACTGCACTCCATTCAACGAGCACCACGTGCAGCATCCTCCACTCGGCGAGCACCACGTGCAGCATCCTCCACTCGGCGAGCACCACGTGCAGCATCCTCCACTCGGCGAGCACCACGTGCAGCATCCTCCACTCGGCGAGCACCACGTGCAGCATCCTCCACTCGGCGAGCACCACGTGCAGCATCCTCTATTCGACGAGCACCACGTGCAGCATCCTCTATTCGACGAGCACCACGTGCAGCATCCTCCACTCGGCGAGCACCACGTGCAGCATCCTCTATTCGACGAGCACCACGTGCAGCATCCTCCACTCGGCGAGCACCACGTGCAGCATCCTCTATTCGACGAGCACCACGTGCAGCATCCTGCTCCACGTTATCGATACGAACGATACTGAACATTCGAGGATCAACGAGCAATGTCCAGTATCTTGGTAAGAGAACTTTCATCTTCAACAACAAACTCTAGAGCTCTTCGACGGAGACGTGTAGATGTGCATGTTTCAATTATTTCCTGTTTAATTTCTTTATCATCATCAGCAGTCACAATGTGCTCTAAGCTCTGTAGATGCGTGTTTTTTTACCCTCCCCCCCCCCCCCCAAGAGTTGTTACATTCTTGTACAGCCATTAGCACCCGTAGCGTTTCGGGCAGGCCCTTAATCCAACGTTCCCCGGAATACGACCCTCGCGAAGAATCGTATAACAACCAAGTACCCATTTTACTGTTGCGTTAAACAGAGGCTACAGTTAAAAGATTTACGCCCAGTAAATTCTCCCCGGCCAGGATACGAACCCAGGACAAAGCGCTCCCAGAACGCCAGACGAGCGTCTTACCACTACGCCAAGGAGACTGATCTACAGTTACTACAATACAGATATTGATCTACAGTTTCATTAAGGAAAAGTTTGGCTCTCCTGAAATGAATAATTTCCATAGCAATGTTCAGTCTTGGTTTGAAATGGTCAGTTAATTTGGCGTTGGCAGTGCCAATCTTCGTCACCACCACCAGGGTCTTTCAGTGTGTCAAAGATGTCACAAACTCGATCACCAACATAATGAAGTAGAAAGACACGCTTTCTTTCAACACTTTTGATGTTCGAAACAAATTTCAAACCTTTTAAGCCATTTGGTCTACGTCTGACAGGTTTGTCTCGTCAGTCTGAAAACTGAGGTATATTTGCCATATTTACTATATAAATGTAAACTTATCACTTAAATGTTACTCAGAATACTAAACACTTACTACACTGTGTATATTAGATAAGAATTCACTAATTAATTTTGAAAGCACACAGGCATTTTAATGCATTTCCCAACAGTGCACAATGCAACAGCAACTGACTGACCTCTTACCTAGCCTTGAGTACACGTGTTGTTCCAACTCACAGCTGTACAGCAGTTGTCAGCAATGTTTGATGAGTTTTCAGTAGTCAACACAGCATGAAGGATTGAGTAGCTCAGAGCGTCGTTTTGTACACAGCATCAGTAGGCATCACACAGCTTCAATTAGCACATATCTTCCTCAGCAAATTTTCAGTCAGCACACAGCACTGGTATGGTGTTCACAGTCCAGCATGTTTTCTCCACCCGTGGTGAGGCAACATACTTCTCTCCTGTTTTGAGCTGGACAAATACCTGCGTTCACTGTTTACCCTCGTCGGCAGTGTGGTTTTGTGGGTTGCTGTGGGATGCCTTGGTTGTAGGGTTGATGTAAAGCCACTGCTTAGTTACGGACTTTAATACTTATAACGGTACATGACTAGCAACGTCGAAGCGTGGCGGGCGCTCTGCACGCTCTGCCGTGAACATGAGCTTGCCATGGACAAGACAGGCATCGCCGTTGACCTCTCACAAGGGCTTCTCTCCCAGCGAAGTTCTCAACTTGCTTCGTTCCTTCGAGAGCGAAATGGAGCTCGTTCATAGGGTCCCCTCCCCCCACCCCCTCCCCCTTCCCCTTCCCGAGTTGTTTTGTACTCCCGCAAGTACGCGTCGTTCCCCAGGCTCTCGCGCATTTCCTCCGTAGTTTGTGAGAAGTGTCGTCCACACTGATAAACTACGCCGGCTTTGAGTCACACGACCACTGTCCACTTGTTAGGCCAACATTCATCACTGGTAACTGTCGCCGTAGACTAATGTTCTCTCGGCTTGGCAGCACCAGCCTTGCTCCTAGGCACAAGGGTTATTTGTAACTGCACTTGCTTGTGGTTCTGTTGATTGTCGCTAAGTACCATCACTGGATCGGCTTACCGAGTAACTAGTCAAGTCGGGATGGCTCCGGACACTTGACGGGTGAGTCTCACTCTTCATATGATGTTCCAACGTCAAAGGGTAACTCATCACGCTCTTATTTGAGACCGTTGGCGCCTTGTTAAGTCATACAACAACAGTCATTCCGCACTTCTCCCTTGTTCAAAAGTCTGTCAGCTGCTCCTTCCGTTGTTGGAAAGTGCTCTTGCTTCCTCTGAGGAGCTCAACTTGCCACACACACGCGTATTTGACGCTAGTGTCCTGGAGCACCGATGTACACGTCCACACCTGATCACGAGGTCAGTGACCAAATTCGCCTATCCGATGTCTCCCGAACTCCCTGGTGACGTCATTGCAAGTTTCCTGCTCATTGGCTGCAACCTTGTAGCTCCATCTCAACCAGTGTCGCTGCACGAGGCGGGAAGTCCCTCTTCATCAGATACTCTGGGCGTCATATTGGCCAGCTTCTCTCCTGCCAACTCCTTAAAACCAAATTTACATTCAAACCATGCTGAGGGGGCCCCCTGACAGCTGAGTGGACAGCGCTTCGAATTCGTAGTTCAAAGGTTCCGGGTTCGATCCCCGGTGGAGGTGGAGACAAATGGGCGAAATATTTCTTTCACCCTGATGCCTCTGTTACCTAGCAGTAAATAGGTACCTGGGAATTAGAGGGCTTCTACAGGCTTCTTCCTGGGCGATGTGTGTAACAAAAAGGAGGCCTGGTCGAGGACCGGGCCGCGGGGACGCTAAGCCCCGAAATCATCAAGATAACCTCACTTTTCCCTCGTAACTCAACACATTCCTTGGTCCGTCTAGCACCTTGTTAGGCTGGGAATAAAAGACGATGTGGGCAAGGCCTGAATTAGGCGAAGTCCACATCACCAACAGGGAGGCCTGGTCAGAGACTGGGTTGTGAGAGTATTGATCCTAGAAACGACCTCATTGTAACCTCAAGGATACAATACGTAACTTTCAGAGGTTTGACAATTTTTTTTTTTTTTTTTTTTTGCATATAGCAAACTGACATATGATGGTTGTGTTGCAGGAGGTGGAGCTGGTGACGGAGGTGACGGCGGCTGGTAGTGGCTGGGTGGAGTACCATGTTTGTCCCAGGACCAGTGTGTGGGCCCTGGAGGACCCCACCTGCTTCACCCACACCCTCCAGGTGAGTCTCCGGGGCGTCCCACCCCACACTACACACCCACAGGGTCATACACACCCGCCACACACACCCGCCACACACACACCAGGTCTCTCACACACACCCGCCACACCCACCAGGTCTCTCACACACACCCGCCACACCCACCAGGTCTCTCACACACACCCGCCACACCCACCAGGTCTCTCACACACACCCGCCACACCCACCAGGTCTCTCACACACACCCGCCACACCCACCAGGTCTCTCACACACACCCGCCACACCCACCAGGTCTCTCACACACACCCGCCACACCCACCAGGTCTCTCACACACACCCGCCACACCCACCAGGTCTCTCACACACACCCGCCACACCCACCAGGTCTCTCACACACACCCGCCACACCCACAAGGTCTCACACACACACCCGCCACACCCACCAGGTCTCTCTCTCACACCCACCAGGTCTCTCTCTCACACCCGCCACACCCACCAGGTCTCTCTCACACACACCCGCCACACCGACCAGGTCTCTCTCTCACACCCGCCACACCCACCAGGTCTCTCACACCCGCCACACCCACCAGGTCTCTCTCTCACACCCGCCACACCCACCAGGTCTCTCACACCCGCCACACCCACCAGGTCTCTCTCTCTCACACCCGCCACACCCACCAGGTCTCTCTCTCACACCCGCCACACCCACCAGGTCTCTCTCTCACACCCGCCACACCCACCAGGTCTCTCTCACACACCCGCCACACCCACCAGGTCTCACACACACACACACCCGCCACACCCACCAGGTCTCTCACACACACACCCGCCACACCCACCAGGTCTCTCACACACACACCCGCCACACCCACCAGGTCTCTCTCTCACACCCGCCACACCCACCAGGTCTCTCTCTCACACCCGCCACACCCACCAGATCTCTCTCTCACACCCGCCACACCCACCAGGTCTCTCTCTCACACCCGCCACACCCACCAGGTCTCTCTCTCACACCCGCCACACCCACCAGGTCTCTCACACACACCCGCCACACCCACCAGGTCTCTCACACACACCCGCCACACCCACCAGGTCTCTCTCACACACCCGCCACACCCACCAGGTCTCTCACACACACCCGCCACACCCACCAGGTCTCTCACACACACCCGCCACACCCACCAGGTCTCTCACACACACCCGCCACACCCACCAGGTCTCTCACACACACCCGCCACACCCACCAGGTCTCTCACACACACACTCGCCACACCCACCAGGTCTCTCTCACACACCCGCCACACCCACCAGGTCTCTCACACACACCCGCCACACCCACCAGGTCTCTCACACACACCCGCCACACCCACCAGGTCTCTCACACACACCCGCCACACCCACCAGGTCTCTCACACACACCCCCGCCACACCCACCAGGTCTCACACCCGCCACACACAACACACACACCCCCGCCACACCCACCAGGTCTCTCACACACACACCCGCCACACCCACCAGGTCTCTCACACACACACACACACACACCCCCGCCACACCCACCAGGTCTCACACACACACACACACACACACCCGCCACACCCACCAGGTCTCTCACACACACCCGCCACACCCACCAGGTCTCACACACACACACCCGCCACACCCACCAGGTCTCACACACACACACCCGCCACACCCACCAGGTCTCACACACACACCCGCCACACCCACCAAATCTCTCACACACACCCGCCACACCCACCAGGTCTCACACACACACTCCACACCCACCAGGTCTCACACACACACCTGCCACACCCACCAGGTCTCACACACACACACCCGCCACACCCACCAGGTCTCACACACACACACACCCGCCACACCCACCAGGTCTCTCACACACACCCGCCACACCCACCAGGTCTCACACACACACCCGCCACACCCACCAAATCTCTCACACACACCCGCCACACCCACCAGGTCTCACACACACACACACCCACCAGGTCTCACACACACACACCCGCCACACCCACCAGGTCTCACACACACCCGCCACACCCACCAGGTCTCACACACACCCGCCACACCCACCAGGTCTCACAGACACCCGCCCCACCCACCAGGTCTCACACACACACCCGCCACACCCACCAGGTCTCACACACACACCCGCCACACCCACCAGGTCTCACACACACACCCGCCACACCCACCAGGTCTCACACACACATCCGCCACACCCACCAGGTCTCACACACACACACCCACCAGGTCTCACACACACACCCGCCACACCCACCAGGTCTCACACACACACATCCGCCACACCCACCAGGTCTCACACACACACATCCGCCACACCCACCAGGTCTCACACACACACATCCGCCACACCCACCAGGTCTCACACACACACATCCGCCACACCCACCAGGTCTCACACACATCCGCCACACCCACCAGGTCTCACACACATCCGCCACACCCACCAGGTCTCTCACACACCCGCCACACCCACCAGGTCTCTCTCACACACCCGCCACACCCACCAGGTCTCTCTCACACACCCGCCAGGTCTCTCACACACACATCCGCCACACCCACCAGGTCTCACACACACACATCCGCCACACCCACCAGGTCTCACACACACACATCCGCCACACCCACCAGGTCTCACACACACACATCCGCCACACCCACCAGGTCTCACACACACACATCCGCCACACCCACCAGGTCTCACACACCCACCCGCCACACCCACCAGGTCTCACACACACATCCGCCACACCCACCAGGTCTCACACACACATCCGTCAAACCCACCAGGTCTCACACACACACATCCGCCACACACACCAGGTCTCACACACACACATCCGCCACACCCACCAGGTCTCACACACACACATCCGCCACACCCACCAGGTCTCACACACACACATCCGCCACACCCACCAGGTCTCACACACACATCCGTCACACCCACCAGGTCTCTCACACCCACACCCGCCACACCCACCAGGTCTCTCACACCCACACCCGCCACACCCACCAGGTCTCTCACACCCACACCCGCAACACCCACCAGGTCTCTCACACCCACACCCGCCACACCCACCAGGTCTCTCACACACACACCCGCCACACCCACGAGGTCTCTCACACCCACACCCGCCACACCCACCAGGTCTCTCACACACACACCCGCCACACCCACCAGGTCTCTCACACCCACACCCGCCACACCCATCAGGTCTCACACACACCCGCCACACCCACCAGGTCTCTCACACACACACACCCACCAGGTCTCACACACCACACCCAGGTCTCACACACACACCCGCCACACCCACCAGGTCTCACACACACACACACCCGCCACACCCACCAGGTCTCACACACACACACCCGCCACACCCACCAGGTCTCACACACACACACCCGCCACACCCACCAGGTCTCACACACACACCCGCCACACCCACCAGGTCTCACACACACACCCGCCACACCCACCAAATCTCTCACACACACCCGCCACACCCACCAGGTCTCACACACACACACCCGCCACACCCACCAGGTCTCACACACACCCGCCACACCCACCAGGTCTCACACACACCCGCCACACCCACCAGGTCTCACACACACCCGCCACACCCACCAGGTCTCACAGACACCCGCCTCACCCACCAGGTCTCACACACACACCCGCCACACCCACCAGGTCTCACACACACACCCGCCACACCCACCAGGTCTCACACACACACCCGCCACACCCACCAGGTCTCTCACACACATCCGCCACACCCACCAGGTCTCACACACACACCCGCCACACCCACCAGGTCTCACACACACACCCGCCACACCCACCAGGTCTCACACACATCCGCCACACCCACCAGGTCTCACACACACACATCCGCCACACCCACCAGGTCTCACACACACACATCCGCCACACCCACCAGGTCTCACACACATCCGCCACACCCACCAGGTCTCACACACATCCGCCACACCCACCAGGTCTCACACACATCCGCCACACCCACCAGGTCTCACACACATCCGCCACACCCACCAGGTCTCTCTCACACACCCGCCACACCCACCAGGTCTCTCTCACACACCCGCCAGGTCTCTCACACACACATCCGCCACACCCACCAGGTCTCACACACACACATCCGCCACACCCACCAGGTCTCACACACACACATCCGCCACACCCACCAGGTCTCTCACACACACATCCGCCACACCCACCAGGTCTCACACACACACATCCGCCACACCCACCAGGTCTCACACCCACCCGCCACACCCACCAGGTCTCTCACACCCACCCGCCACACCCACCAGGTCTCACACACCCACCCGCCACACCCACCAGGTCTCACACACACATCCGCCACACCCACCAGGTCTCACACACACATCCGTCAAACCCACCAGGTCTCACACACACACATCCGCCACACACACCAGGTCTCACACACACACATCCGCCACACCCACCAGGTCTCACACACACACATCCGCCACACCCACCAGGTCTCACACACACACATCCGCCACACCCACCAGGTCTCACACACACACATCCGCCACACCCACCAGGTCTCACACACCCACATCCGCCACACCCACCAGGTCTCTCACACCCACACCCGCCACACCCACCAGGTCTCTCACACCCACACCCGCAACACCCACCAGGTCTCTCACACCCACACCCCCACCAGCCACACCCACCACACCCACCAGGTCTCTCACACACACACCCGCCACACCCACGAGGTCTCTCACACCCACACCCGCCACACCCACCAGGTCTCTCACACACACACCCGCCACACCCACCAGGTCTCTCACACCCACACCCGCCACACCCATCAGGTCTCACACACACCCGCCACACCCACCAGGTCTCTCACACACACCCGCCACACCCACCAGGTCTCACACACCCGCCACACCCACCAGGTC